GATCTTGGAACTCGTTTGTACTATCGAATTGACATTAGTCTTAAAAATTCCAGAAAAATCTGTAAAAAGGAATACCGTAATTAAACAACTTATTAGTGAAAGCTCAAGGTTATCATTAAATTTTAGATGATAATTTTTTGATCAACAACGAATTCGAGTAGACGAGAGATGAGGACGCACCACGCGATGTGGGCGCCGTACTTGAAGCATTAAGAAATTGCTGAAATAATTCATGATGATGAATAAAAATTCATCACCATGATTATTTACATCTCGTTTTGTTATTCAAAACACAAAAATCGTAAGTGTCATCTTAAATCCACCTCCAATCCCATCAATTTAATTCTCCCTCGCTATTATCCACCGTGTCACCGTAACAACAAACACGCTATAGGTCAAAGTGGCAACCTGTTGAGCTTCCGTAGCGTGTAAAATACGACGACACTGAGCCATTCGTATCTCATCCCAAGCGTCCACCACCACAGACTTACCCCACATTTACAAATGGAATTGAGACGGCACGGATTCTTCTCTCCACTCTTCCTCATTCGGTCCTTCTTCGAAACGTCTGAGGATTGTATTCATACAGATTCGTATCACGAGCGCGTGCTGTCTCAGCGCAAAACTCTCCATTTACTTCGGGCCTCGAATGTTGTTTCGAAAGAAGTGAGAGAAAATTGGAGAATGATGACAATGTTGTTTCTCGTCCTCATTCTGACATTATGTTTCACAATTTCTCTGATTTAGTCATTAATTACTCATCATTTTGGTGTTCATTTTATGGAGAAGGTGATTTATTCGATCATTATGTAATTTAGATGAGATTTTCTTTTATATTTTTTATTTTGAAACTATTTATTTTCGAGAAATTTGCAGTGTCATCCAACCCCTTTCTTTCTGTTTGTTTACCAAAAGCATGAAGGTCTACAAAATCTTCAATTTTTAAATAATTACTCATTTTTAGAAATTTCCAAAGAACTCATTATTGACAAAACTGATTTATGGATTTTTCAATGAAATTCCAATTCCAAAAATTCACGCCGTCATTGAAATTTCAATGATTGTTCAATATAATAAACTCAATTTTGTTGAATTTTCAAGATGAATAAAAAATTTAATACTTGATTTTTCAGTTAAATTATTCCGTGAAAGTTAAGAAAAATCAGGAAAATTGAGGTAAAAATAGAAAATTCATATCATTTTGATTCTGAATATTCATGTTCCATTGAGAATTCAGTCAAGTTGTGAAATTTCCATCTCACACGGAAACCCATGAATGAATTTCCTTGAATTCCCATGAATTTCCCTGAATGCTACCTGAAACTTGAAATTTCATGATCATTTTTCCCCTAAATCCAAATCACTTCCTACCGAATTCGTAAAATATTTCGACCGCAGAATTTAAGATTTTTCAAATTTTCAGTTGGCCCATAATTAAATAGAGTGCGAAATATACGTTCGTTATACATTTCCCCATCGATTGCGACCGTTTCAATAGCAGAAAAATATGTTCATCAGTTATTATTGGCTATTTTATCAGCCTCGGGGTTTGTGGGTCATTCCGCCCAGAGTTTGTGGGTAATGCCGCCCAGGGTTTCTATAGGGCTGCTAGACTCAGCAGCTAAAGGGCGGTCGAGTGACCTCTCGATTGTTTGGGGTAGTCGGTGGCTACTGGAACATCGGGTAAATTCAGGATAATTTATTATTATTCACGTGAAATCTTTCTCAAAATGGAGCCAAAGAATGGAAACGAAGAAAGAAAATAGGAAAAATTATAACAGTTGGTCTGCATTGCTAAAAAAGTCATCAAAACGGGCGGTATTACTCTCAAAATTCGATTCCATCGCTCACTGGCCGATGGCAATTGAATTACAGAATTAATTATGTTTATTGTTAATAAAAAATTTATCCTCTTCACATCTTCAAGTAAACACCTCGAAGAACCTATTCTAACCGTTTATGACTCCTTGTAGAGTGCGAGGCTGGAAAAAGACTCATTTCCCTTGGGTGCGCGGTACATGCACCAGCTACCCTAGTATATTTCGATACGAGTGCGTAAATAGTATTTTTCCGGCCTGTTGCGATGGGGTTTTTTATCGTGTGGCGTTGGCCTCCGAGACGCAGGCGAGGACTGGCCAACCACACGAGTAAAAAAACCCCATCGCAACAGCCCAGAAACAATATTTTTCTGTAGTGATTTTCAAGTTTTCGAGTTTGGGAAGTATGTAATACCAATTCCCAGACGAGAAATCGGGAGAAGCAGTACAGAAAAATGTTTTTTGACCCGTGGGAGATGTGCAGCGCTCGCCGAAGGCGAGTGCAACCCTTCCAAGAATCAAAGAACACATTTTCCATGAGTGTCGAACCCTATTTTCCATCACGATATATGGGAAGTGGCATTTTGTCCACGCGAAAAATTCCACTTTATGCACAAGTGATGAAATATACTATTTTACAGAAAATTCCCGCTTCTACAAAAAAAATTCTCCATAAAATTATCATCTTCTAAAATATTTGCAAAATACTCCAACGATTGCAACAAATCAATTTCCATTCATTAAAAACAATCCATCATTCCCGATTCCACAAACACCTAAATTGTTAAACTTCAACAAAAATCCCTAAACTATTTTTTATTTCCTCCTCAACAAAAAATGTCCTTCGACATCTCCCTCCAAACCCCCCATTACCGAGATAATCCTCATCCATAAAACATTTCACCTGACCTTATTACTCCTCGCTGAAGTGATTATTCACCTCATAAAGATTCCAAGTCCTATTTTTATTTCCCTAGAATCTCCCGAAGATTAAAGTTGCTTATTAAATTTACGCTGAGTACATAAACAAGATTTTTTCACCATTAACTACACCGTTTAACTGGAATTCAATAATATATAAATTTATGAGGCAATATCGGACTTTCTCTCGACTTCGTGTTCTGGTGGACGCGACGGAGCCACTGCACCGTTAACCATCGGAAAAATTGTTTATGTGCCTGTCGAAAAAATCAAGTAACATTATGATAAAAATAAACCGTTGAGTGTAGGACTAGGCCTGGAGTTAATGCTGCGGGTTGGGAGGGACATAACGATGGCGTTTCTCAGTAGTTTTATCGTCCGAGAGAGCCCTCGATGAAGTTAATGGCACCTGGATATTGAGGCGCTGCACACTTTGTGCGTGGAGATATATTCAACGAGGCGCATTGTACTGTACCTTCTAATTGCGCATGGGGGACGGTTGTTACGAGATCGATGTAAATTGACGCTTTCTAACCCTCGGGCTGCTACGAGATATCTTGAGTGATTAATAAAATTGTTTCGGGATGAAAAAGTTAATGTGTTTCCATCATTTCTGGAGATTGGGGCTGTTGTGGTAATAGTGAGGCAGTCGTTGCTAGCCCTTTTGAACATTCAGTGATTGCGCTAATTTTTTGAGAATGGGGCTGTCGATTCTTGGAGAACATGAGTTATGGAGACTTGGAAGCAAGCGTTGATAACGCGGGTATAGGAGTGAGAAACGTATAGGATTATTGCAGTCACTGTGATCATGATGATGGATTATTTGAGATGAAAAAACGTGGGGGGTTTATGAGTCAAATTTCCAGGGGGTGGGGTGTTGTTTACACCAGAGGAAATTTAATAAAGAACTTGATGGATTTATTGCAATCACTGATCCATACCCATACAGCAGAGCTTTAACTTCTTCGGGGTGGGGCTGTTGATTCTCATGAAACCGGAATTACAGAAACTTCGACGCTATCTTGTTAACTCAGTGAGGAGCGCACACTTTCACTGAAAAAATGTGTCAAACGCATGAGTTTCAACTTCTGTAACTCAAAATTATAAAACGGACTGAAAAATGGGGGAGTGTTCCAGGTTCCTTTCAATACACCCATACAAGCACCCAACCCCGGGCTGTCGATTTGCACAGAATCGAAGTTACAGAAATTTGTGCGCCGCGGGCAGTCAAAACTGCATTCTTCCCTATCATTGAGGTATCGCAAAGACAAAACGTGAGAGACTCTCTCATCAACCTCCCCCCTCCCAGCTCCACTTTCTCTAAAATATTCCGTCTCTTGCCCTTCGACCCGGTATTCCAAGCATCGATGTTCGATCCCCCTCCCCCTCCCCCAGATTATTTATAATCGTCGTACTCATGCCGATTGAACTCCCCGCGGGGTATCTCCCCGAACTAAACCGAAAAAAAAGCCCCCAAAAATCCTACGATGGGAAAAAATGAGATAGAAGCCAGAGTCGTTCGGGCTCTTGTCGGAAAATAATTAATATGCCGTGGACGCATAACTAACGGCCCCACGGAGCAGTCTGTTTGTTTTCGAATGTCTCCCCTCTCTCTCCCTCCCGCACACACACACTCGACCTCCCGCTGTTACTCTCCAAGGGGGAAAAAGACCGAAAGCCCCAGCCAAAACGTCTCTCTCCAACTCGCAACGAAAAATACATTGAATACCTCCACAGATTCAATGCTGTCCTCCTTCCGCACTCTGTCCTTTTTTTTTCAATTTTTTTTTGCCTCGTTTCATCGGCCTCTTTCTTTCAAATAAAATAGAGAGAGAAGTAGCCGCCGGCAGCAGCAGCATGCCTATGCCTCCCTCTACCGTATATTTCTCCTCAGGCCTTAATCTTTCTCTTTGTGACTCGACTGTTTTAGCGTTTTCTTCTTATTCTTCTTCTTCTCTCGAAACATTTCTCATTTATTTTCACTCTTTTTTGACTCTTTCTCTTAATTCTCCGATGGTAAACCGGCGAATCGCCGCTGGGGCCTTATTAGCGGGGATAGAGACGAATGAAGTAATGGGGGAGGCGAGGGAACTGACGTTTTTGCTGAAGAAAGTTTATGTGACATGTTTAGACGGATTTGATGGACGTGATGGGGAGGGGGGGGGGGAATTAAATGTGATTAGTCACGTATTTTAGAAGGGGCATTTGTACTGAAAGGTGGATTGAATGGTTTTGTCTGACGCGAATGGTTTATTTTGTTAGCAGGATCAACAGGTGGTCGTGAGGTCACGTGCTACTGCAACCAGCCAGAGTGCGTACCGCAAGGCTACATGTGTCATGGAAGAGGATGCTTTACGGAATTGCCGTCCAGTACGGGTCCACTGCTGGTAAGGCCTGAGCACAGTGTCTATAATGGATGTCTCGAAGAGAGCTTCAAGGAGAAACAGTGTCCTCCGGGGTTCCTGTGCTGCGATCAGGATCTTTGTAATCATGTGGATAGTCCTGCTGTTATGAGCAGACTCAATAAGACACTTCAAGGTTTGTATTGAGGATTTTTTTGGGGGTAGGGATCGGAACAGTCAATTTCAAAATAAGTTAAATTTCGGTTGTTTTAAGTTATAATATTACCCGACAATTTACCGATATCAAATTAATCATCAATCGAATATTCAAATTCAGAAATAATCTATCAACCAGTACTCGTGTCAGCAGTTCATGTCTAATCGAAAAATCCTTTTATGAAATTTAGAATTATTTACTTAATAGGCAATAGAAAATATAAATTACGAATTATTTTTTTCATCACGCTGTGACGAAAAGTGAACTTTTCGGCACGCTCCGCGTGCCTAAAAGTCCAATTTCCGCCACATTTTGATGAAAAATATTGTTCGTAACTCGTGAAAAAATGTTTTTTAGCTCGTGGGATTATATCACTCGCCTTCGGCTCATGATATAAACCTCCCACTCGCCAAAAAACACTTTTTTGCACTCGTTACGAAATATACTCATCATTTTCAAATTTCAATTAAGATAAAAAACCATAGGAATAGAAAGGTGCAAATTCTAATAATATTATAAAATATTACAAATGTCATGATTTTACCTGGGTAAAGTGGACACTCAAAGAAGTTACGAATTTTTTTTACGTAGATACGTCTATGTTTTCATCATGGGGAAGCATTTAAGGAAAAAGTCCTTAGGGTTCCTTATCGACAGTGGCGCCATCTATCGGAATTCTAGGATATTCCGGATTTTTCTAGAAAATTATAGATTTTTCTAGAAAATTCGAGAAAATTCTCCAGTTTGTTTAGAAATAAATTACAATTTTGGGTGACCATTAGCGCTGATCCGCAATGTACCGACACTTGGTTATTATTGCTAGAGATGCAAATGCGTCACATGACCCGTCATAGGACATGACCGTCATATGACGCATAAAACAAAATAGTTTCATCTATATGGATGGAAAAAAAAAAAGTGCTACGTCGGTAGCTTAGTTGGAAGAGTGCCCGGCGCGTAACTGGGAGACCCGGGTTCGATTCCCGGGTGGGCGGATCGGGATTTTTTTCTCTCTGAATTTCAATTCTATTCGAATTAATGAATTTTTTTTTTTTTTGCAGTTTTATAATTGGAATTTACCGTCATATGACGGTGATGTGACCGTCATTGACGGTCACATCACGAGGCGTTCATGACGGCTGTCACAATTCCCCCTCCCCCTTCTGTAACCGTCACAACTTGTCAAGAACAAATGACGGTCATTTTTCATCTATATAGATGGAACTTTATTTTTTTCTCGGTCAATTTTCAGTTGAATTCCTTTTGTATTGGCCTAATCCGCATTTTTTAATGGAAATCACATTTTTTTTTCCATCCATATAGATGAAACTATTTTGTTTTATTCATGACCGTCACTAATTGGAAATTAGTTACGACCGTCATTATGCAATTATATAGATGGTTTGACAACAATTTGGTTACAAATGATTTGTGACAATCACTTGTAGTTGGAAAATTTGTGCGTCACATGACCGTCACAAAACCGTAAATTTTGGTCATATGACGCGATCTAAAAAATGATGGTCATTTTGCATCTCTAATTATTGCACGGAATAGATGAAATTTATGGATCCGTGTTAAAATTCGCAAGGGCGTTTATATGTGACGATTTCGCTGCGAATGAAATATGTTGAACGATTGTTTAGGATTTTGTTTGTATATAATAATTCAATCGTATCGTGATTATAAAAAACGTCTTGTCATGACGAGATGGTGATTTATACAGTGAAAAACTATGATGTTCAGTGAAGAGACGGAAAACCATAGACGTATTCACGTAACATTACGGCTGTATCAAAGATTACAGCCACCCGCAATTTTTTTTTTTTCAAAATTCAAATGTTTGAAAATGGTTGTATTGGGCAATCTGCACACTTGATAAATCCATATAGGATGGACTGAAGTACGTTCAAAAAATTTTCAAAAAATCTTCAATAATCGAATTTTTAAAAATTAGTTCTTGGCAATGTTCATAGCCGAAAAATTATGCAAGAGGGGGTTCAAATGGACACCCGAAAAAGTTGATCCTATTCAAAAGTCAAAACAATTTTCAACAGGCATTTTTGAACAGAATCGTGTGGGTATCTGTTTATAGAGAGAAACTCGAGTTTTGTAGGGAGAATTTCGTCGTATTCTGGAGAAGTCTCTTGAAATTTTCAAGTTGTTTAGATTTTATAATAGAGCTCAGATTTTTGGACTGTGGGGTGAGGGAATTGTAGAATTGTGGAATGCTTTTGATGATGTTCGCTTCTTGGAGGGAAGAGATTTGAGATTATATTATTTGATGGATGTCTCGGCAGAGAGTTTTGGGGAGAGATGTCAACCTCATTCAATCGTAGTTGATATTAGAAGATTAAATTACTGTGGAGTAAACAATAATGAGGGAATAACTATTATTTATATGACGTGAGAGTGGGGCAATATGGACGGACTTTTTTTGAAATGTTGATGAAACGAGATAATTTTTTCCCCGTAAAGTACAATTCCTCCTTCTTGTGATGAGCCCAGAGTAAGCTCAATAGATGACTTTATTTCCGACTCATGAAAATGAAAAAAAAAGTCAAACTGTTCATTTGGCGCCTCACTCCTCCCCCAATTTAATCTAATCATATAAACGGATCGTCACATTATATCATCTTCAGCTTAAGGTGTATCCCAAGACAATCTGACCTAAAAGTTAGTCCCTATGGATTTCCGAAAAAAATTCTAAATAACTTAATTTATTGCATTCCCGTAAGTTATTGAGTTCTTCTGTTCTCATGTGTTGTTGATGTAGGCAACAATAACTGTTTGAATCAAATACGGAATGCTTTCACGAAATTTCCATTTTTTAGAGTTGAATATCGCAAAAACTATGTAGTACAACATTTTACGAAAAATTCATCGTATTCAAAATATATCAATCTATCATGGATACGTTTTTTAAGGGTGCCAAGTGAATTTGGCGATGACCTTGAAAATTGACATTCACCAACAAAGTTATAATTTTTTAAATTAATAGTATTAGACAGATGGTGAACATCGGTGACAATTTAAAAATTTTAGAACTTATGGATATCGAGAAATTAAATAAACAAAATCAGTCTTATACACGACCTCTTATGGGTTTTGATTAAATTGAACGTTTCAACCCCCTAGGAACTCAAGAAAAATTTGAAAAAATTTGAAGATATGGGGAATGATGTGTTCAATGTGATGGCGACAAAAAACAATGGGGTACCGGGGTAAATAAGAGAGATATTTCAATCCGCCGTACCCATTTGATCCCATGCTTTCTCGAGGTTCGTCACCCGAAATAGAGGATTTCCCGCATTTATTTTCTCGATCTCTAGTTCCGGCTGCGGGTTTGAAATTTCGTCGGATGGGTGAATACATATTTCTCCAATGATGGAGGGAAAGAAAGAAATTTTTTTGAATCTTTTTTCAAATTCACTTGGCACCCTTAAGAACATCGTAAGAACCGTTTTCTCATAAGGCGGAATAATCGAGTTCGGAGGACCCATAAGCCCTGTTTGGCGTATGCCTTGCGTGTTATAAGTCCACATTTCATTATTTATTATCTCCTAAATTGTGTAGCACAGCTAGTTAGAATTTCTTTCAATAGCTGGGGACTATTATGAACATTACAAACATTATCTCGGGAAAGTGGGGAAAAATGAAACAGTCGAAAATACGACTGTTTGACGCAATTCAAGCAAAAAAAATTTTTTTACCAACCATTTAAAAAAATTAATTTTTGTTTATTAACTCTTTTCATTATTGAGAGTACTAATTAGAATAATAATTTTCCACTCAGCGGAATGGAACATTATTGAGATGTTTTGACGGGAGAATATTTTGCCAATGGATTAATTGAAAAGAAAATGAAACAACAAAATCTAAAGTCCAAAGAAAGGCCCAGTGGGAGACCCAGGTAGGGAAAAAGGAAAATGTGATACTGAAGTTCAATCGAATGAAAAAAAAAGTGCGATTTGCCTAATCTAATCAATTGAATTGTTATCAATTGAATTATAAGACGAATAAAACATTATTATTCTCATTAGTACTCCCAATAATAAAAAGAAATTAATGAATAAAAGGTGATAAAAACAAATTTTTTTTTGCTTGAATTGCGTCAAATAGTCGTTTTACGGCTATTTCATTTTGCCCTATCCTCCCGTATGAAAAACAATATGGGACAATTTTAAGAAAAAAGTGTTTTCTAGGGATATAAGGGACTTTAATTCCCCCTCAACATTCGAAATCAGTCACCAACCCCACGCAGCCCCACCAATTATCCAGTAATTCCTCAGAAATTCTGAAAATTCCCTTAATTAAGAGATTAATGACATTTTTTGCGGAATGACTCATCCCCTTTTTCCGCAGTTCTAGTCGGTGATCAAAGGGCATTTCTGGGGCCGATCCAGCCAACGGAGCAGACCTCGAGAACGGCAGATGGTTGGTTCAAGACAGCGACCATAGCAGTCCCCATATGCGGCTTAATCGTTCTCCTCATTCTCGCGAGCCTCGCGATAAGACTCCTCCAGCCTCTGCCAACGCAGTCCGACAAATTGGGGCCCCACAGGACACCCGACAACGCTCCACCCCTCCTGGGCTCCCCGAAAGTGCCTCTCGTCTGATTGAACCGAGGAAAAAAATGATAATGGATCTGAAGAAATATCCAAAGACTTCACATGACGGCCTAAACCCACGATGAACATTCGACGGTTTAAGGAAGACTCTTAAGAATTTAAAAACATGGAGTTATTGAAAAAAGCTGGAGAGCCCTGTGGCTCCTTGTGGCTGTGAATTTAATGAGAAAACATGGAAGAAAGCATTGAATTAATCACTTATTGTAAATTAATTAATCAGATTTTCTCGCATTTCCCTCGAGGCCGGTTCCGAGTTTCATTCTCCATTTTTGTCTTTGTGAAGGACTGGAGAATTGGAATCTGCGAGGAGATTTTTCTCTTATCGTTTTAGGTTTTCTAATATATTTGGGGGGTCGNGGGGGGGGGGGGGGGGGGCGACTTTTGTCGGTCCTTCCAATCTTCTTTCTTTATCTTCATTAATTATGAAATTGTACATATTTAAGTAGACTTAAGGATGTTTTTTGTATTTTATTTTTAAGCACCGTGCACTTTTTTTCGAAAGGGCCCCTGGGGAATTATCAGTTCTTCGGGGGACTTTTTTGATTTATCACTCACGTTTTATCGTCACCTTTTGATTGCAATGATTTCACGTGTTGAGGTTTATCGCTGGGAGGTGAGGGTGCTTGTCAATTCGAGATCACTAAGTGCCAAGAGTTTTAGAGGGGGAGAATTATTGAATTGGGAATGTTCTTGGGAAAATTTCCAGGCACTTGCTTTTTTGTAATTTTTCGTCGTCAGTTTTTCACGAGATGCGTGCATAATTAAAGGCCTAAGATTTCAGGTTTTTGTTGAAATGAATTTGTACATTATTGTGAGCATATTTTGAAGAGGATCTAGAAAGAAATGTTGGAAGAGCCTTGTTATGGAGACATTTACGATCTACAAAAACCATTTTCTGATAGTTTTCTCTCAATTCAGTAGTTTCCAAGAAACTGCCAAAATAAAATACTAATATTACTAATATTTAAAAATCAATCATTTTCATCGTGAAAAATGAACTGAAATTCGTTCCATTATTGCAACTACTTTAGGTATGAAGGAAAGAATATCAGAATAGCTTTTTGGTGGAGAATTCTAAGATCTATACTTCCAATTAAAGTACTATTATTTCAAAATAAATAATTTTTTTCATAAAAAATGACCTGAATGGTTTTTTACATTGGAAATTCTTAAGGTGAAAAGTTAAGGCATTTGCATTTTATATTTTTTTTCGTCATCAGTCTTTCCCGAGATGAATGCATAATTAACGATCTCAGATTTTAGGTTCTCGTTGAACTGGATTCGTACATTATTTTGTGAATATCTATTTCAGGATCAATAATTATTCCCCTTAAAATTGATCTAAAATTTGTTTTATTGTAAAGAAAATGAGGCTTCAAAGATATTTACAAAACAAACATTTAATATTCAAAAATCAATAATTCTTTCCATCAAAATTGAACTGAAATCCATTTTTATTACTGAAAAAAGGTGAATCCCTCTGCGCATGTGTAATCGTATTCCATATAATATCCCGAAATATTATATTGTGATAAAATAGTATAAACCGAAAAGGAAAAAAGCCAGAAAATTAGTAAAAAAAATAAAATGAAACAAATTTTTAACCAGTTGTCTTTTCATTTATTCTCATCTGTAAATCAAAATAATTCATCGCATCCAACATTCGAATCCTCTCCCCTTCCGTCGTGTCCACATCTCGCAGATGTTTGCGTCACAACTCTATAAAATAGACAACGTCTCAATATCGTCGATTTTACGCTCATTAATACCGAAACAATGATTCAATCGAATTGTAAAACAATTATCGCCGTAACTCAAGGGTTTATTTTTTTGGCATCACAGATTAAAATCCCCACTTCAGCCATGATTTGTTACATTCTTGCTGCATTTTCAGTTTTTTTTTTTTATAAAAAATAATGATTCGATTTCTTTTATTCGTCTTCTTAAAAAAAAAGAACGAAAATTGGATTTTTTCTTCCTTCTTTCTTTTAATATGTTTCCAGAGATTTTCCAGTCTGTCACACTTTTTATCAAATTTTTAAATTTGACCCACATTTTAGTGGAATTATTATGCTGTTCGATATATATTTCCCTCATATTTTTCGGCTGGATTAATTTTTCACACAGATTTTTAAATTTATCTCCCCCTTTTCATCAATTTTTCATTTTGACCCACATTCCCTTGGGATTTGTTCACGATTTGCCCCATAATCTCCTCATTTTTTCCAATTGGAGCTATTTTCTACCAGATTTTTCAATTTATCTTTTCACTTTGACCCATTTTTCCTGGAATTTTTATGCAGTTTGACCCACATTTCCCTCGTATTCGCCTGTGGAGAAAATTTTCTCCACAGATTCTCTAGTTCATCTCATACTTTTCTTCAATTTTGCAATTTGACCCATGTTTTCTTGGAATTTTTCTGTTGGGCTAGTTTTGCCCAATTCTCTCACATTTTCTTGGAATCTGTTTGTGGTTTGACCACATACTTATATTTACCTTGCGGACCAATTTTCCACGAAGATTTACAAATTTATCTCGCACTTTCCATCAAATTTCTCAATTCGACCCACATTTTCCTGGAAATTTTTGCAATTTGACTCACATTTCCTTTACGTTTTCCAGTTCATTCCATTCTTTGTTTATGAAATTGGCCCACACACCCTAAATTTATCAGTTTTGCCCACATTTTCGCCGAATTTTTACTTTAGCTCTTCGTCTTTAAATTTATTTCACATTTTTCATAAAAATTTTCAATTTGACCCACATTTCCCCGCAGTTTGACTCACATTTCCCTCGTATTTTCCAGCTGAACCAATTTTCCCCACAAATTTTTCAATTTGACCCATTTCCTGAAATTTTTCCGCACTTTGACCCACGTTTCCGTCATTTTTTCCACTTCATTCACTTTTGTTCATAAAATTGGCCGACACACTCCGCAAATTCATCATTTTACCCACATTTTCACCGGATTTTCCTCCTCAGCCCTTATTTTCCTACTTCATTCTCCATATCTTCACATCCTCTCATTCTTCTCTACAATATCGTTGCATGCCCGTATCAATTCCCAATAAGTCTCATCCATCGTCAAAACCTTCGATAGTCGATCGATTAAATAGCCGATCGATCGACTTTTCAAAAAATTACGATAAAAAAGAATCACAAAAAATCCATCGACTGAGATCTAGGACAGAATTTCACTGAAGGACTTGACGTACGCCTCGTGGAGTTTGTTGATGAAGTCTGGATCGTTCTTGAGGAGATAGTTAAAGGCCTGGAGTAATTGATTCCTAGTGAGGGGCTCCAGGGGTCTGTTGGGAGGCTCCGAGGGACTTGGGGCCGAGAACATTACTGGGGGGATGAGGGCTGGGGCTGAGGCGACACCGTGGAGATGTCTCGTGGGAGTCTCTTCCGATGCCTGGAGGAAGGCATTTCCCAGAGGGGGGTGGGGGTTTGTGGGGGAGGTGAAGTCACTTGGCTTGCAGTCCATACCCAGGTTGACGAAGGACAGGGGCAGAGCTGAGACGGCTTCTGGGAGAGAACCCGTTCCCATTGAATCGTCGTGCACCTAAAACAAATTTTATTTTATTTTATTTTATCATTTTATTGGGTTTTTATTTTATCTGAAAAATTGTATTGGTTTTACAGGGAATTGTTTTATGATAAAACGTCAAGAGGAAAGTTTTGTAATATGTTTTTTGGAATTTGTTTGGGAAGAATTACTAATTCATTCTGTAAATTGAAATTTAAGAAACTGTGCTTTCAAGACGAAATTCCGAGATGAAGTTCTTTCAATTATTTTTTTTGTTTCCGTTTGAAAAGATTGCCTAATTCATTTGATGAATGAAAAAAACCATGATTCAGAGAAAAATTTCAAAAGAGTTTTTTAATGGAATTTGTCTCGCCTGAAGTCTCTAGAATTTTTTTCGCATTATTAATTACATTATTGGAGTAGAGAAAGATTCCGTAATTTATTGAAAAATGTATTTTAGGATAAAAACTAATGATTTTCGAATTGAGAATTCATTTTGTTTCTTCTGCAATCATTCAAGAAACTGAAAAATAGTTATCGATACGTCGAAAATGCTAATGCTCAAATAAATACTATGAAGATAATGAAATTGTTTTTAACTTCAAACTAGAAAGGATCATTGAAAACAAAGGCAGTAAAATTTTTTTAGCTAGAGGAAAGTTTCTTAACATTTCTTGTAAGATCAGTCGAACATGCATACCAAAGAAGATTCTTCAACTTACTGAAAAACACATTTCAAGTAAAAAAAAGTATTCTTTACTTTTAAGAAGTTGGAACTCAAACTTTTCCTTTTTTAAAGGATTTCAAATGCCAAAAGATATTTTTCAATAGTTCAATAATTCTAATAATCGACTGAAAAAGATCAGCTCTTGAGAGAAAAAAAAATTTTCATATTTCAAAAAATGGTTAATTTAAACAACTGAGCAGTAAATAATGACTAATAAATTGATTATCAATTAATAATAATATACTAAATGAATACTGATAATGGATCAATAATGAAATTAAATGCCACTAATGAATAAAAAAAAATTTTTTTTAATTCGTGTTGTTTCAAAGATTTGTAAATGAAAAATACTTACATTTCTTGTACAATCAATAGTCTGTCCCCCAATGTTGAAAATCCCATGTCTAGTTGCCTGATTGAGTACAGTGGACGGGGTAGTAGGTGACTGTATCCTGTGGAAGCTCATGGAGCCATTGGTGTCATTAGCACTCTTCGTTTGTCTCTGAAGCTCCTGAGAAACTGAATTCAGGGTGGACACTACAGACTCCTGCTGTGGTGTCATTTTATTCTGTTTCTTCGGTTTACTGGCCGGTGTGCTTTGGGCTACATATTTCTGTGTGCGAACTATTGCTGGGGGGAGGATCGAGGGAACTGCTGGCTGTAGTGGCTGAGGGGTGATTGATCTCTGCTGCTTTTCGATGTGTTCTAGTGTGTGGGCTGCTGGGTAGGACATCAGTCGCGCCAGGAAGGGCTTCGTCTCAGTTACTGCGTGGACACTTGGCGAGGGCTGGTCACCGGGTTTGAAATGTCCTGTATTCACCTGATAAAATAATTACATTGAATTAAATTATTGATAATCAGGGATGGCCACCAATCTTCCGATTCTTTGATATTAAAATAATTTCCGACTTACATTGATCAAGATTTAAATATACTAATCGAAATTTAAGAATGGTAAAGTAATTGATAATCTACAGTTCCAATTGCCGATGAATTGAATAGCTAAAAAATATGGAACTATAAATTTTTCTCATCCAAATAATTGTCAATCTTCCTAACTCAATTACTGATTAAGGAACTTCCGCAGTAAGTTTACTTGGTGAAAATTTCGAAATGGTATAAAGACGCAATATTTGGATCATATGTTGTTGAGCACATTCAAAAACTATTCCCAAAATTTCAAGTACCTTGTCCATCCCATTTTCGAGATATACATCGTCAAAAATGGAAAAAACACAAAAATTGAATGTTTGGCGATGCATATCTCAAAAATGGGGTGGACCAGGGACTTGAAATTTTGGGAATATCTTTTTAATGTGGTCAACAACATATGATCCAAATATTGCGTCTTTATACCATTTCGAAATTTTCACCAAGTATACTTACTGCGGAAGTACCTTAATGAATAATTCAAAATTTGACTATTTAAATTGATGATTACTTCAATAATGAAAATTTAAGAGTGATATTAACTAATTGACTACTTGATAATTTAACAGTAATTATAATTTATGGATATGGCTATCTCTGTCTATAAGCCCGTTTTAGAATGCGCAAACCGTTTGAAAAAGATTTTCATTGAATGAATTTTCAGAAATGGAAAAAACATAATTTTTCTGCAAAATGACATCAGTGTTTTGCTTTTGATAAAATAATTACACACAATTGAAGTATTGAAATTTCAAGTTGATTCAACAATTGTTGAAAAAATTCTTCAGATGCAGTTTTAGAAACAGAAGAAATTGTATTTTTCATCAACATTAAAAACTATGAGAATGATTACATTAAGGTATTCAACTCTAAAAAATGGAGATTCCAGGAAAGCATTTCTTATTTGATTAAAACAATTAATTAACGAATAAAGTCTTATTTCATTCAAACAGTTATTGTTGCCTACGTAAACAATAGATGAGAATAAAAAAACTCACTAACTTATAAGAACGCAATAAATTAAGTTATTTAGAATTTTTCCCGGAAATCCATAGAGATTAACTTTTGGGTTCGATTGTCTTGGGATAAACCTTAAATTATTTATATCTCAATTGGAAATTCGCACAGTTAAAGAAAAATTTTCATTGAATAAATTTTTAGAAATAGAAAAAACATAATTTTTCCTCGATATTCAAAAGTCTATGAAGATGATGTCAATTTAAAAAAAAGTGAGAAATGTTTAAATTACTCCACTCTCCCCTAGTTCTAATTACCTTCGCCTTAGCAAAAAAGTCCATAACACTCTGGGACGTGACGTCGAGCCCCAGTGGTGCCGAAAGAGGTGCAATATTACCAGCATTTTCACTCATGCTACTGTTCCCAACGCCATTGCCATCCGATTTCTTCGCAGACCCTTTGGTAGTGTTGAAATCCTCCTGCGCTTTGCTTAGCATACTGAATATATCGACATTGTTGGTAGCTGCCTTGCCTCCCTTCTTGCCCTTTCCCCCTGAATTTCCCACTGTCTTGCGATTCTCGTCAGACACCTTGACGAGTTTATTCAGCATCGAGCCAATTCTCACGCACTCGTCTTTGTCGTAGAACCAAATACCATAGATGTTGCATTTGGCGTTTCTGTAGAGTAGGAAGGGCTCCTGGAGTTGGAGGTCCAGTCCCTGGGTGACTGGTTCCACCAGGTTATTTGTGTTTAGGCTGGGGAAAAAAGAGAAATTCATTTTCCAAATGATTTTATGTCATTTTATAAAGGACCCATTCTTTATTCAAAAAAAAATTCGTTCCTTAAATTGAACGTCTCTTATCATTTTCTATCAATCACTGTAAAAAAATGTTGACTTGAAAATTGTTTATCAATTAATTAATTAATTAAAATTTCAATAAATTTCGTCATTTAAAATTCACAACTTTTCGTACGGCAAATCATCACTTCAATTCCCAAAAAAAAAAAAAATACTGACATCGAAACGACTAGACGATAATTTTTGGAGGAAAAAAAGGAAGAAAAATACAGTAAGTTATATGTCTTATTAAACACAAAAATAACTTTAACGTGTGGAAAAACATCAAGTACGACTCCGACTTCTCCCTGCACTCTCTTCCAAATCTGAATCTGACGATAATCCCTGAAAAATCTCTCATTTCAAGCAATTCGAATTGCCCTCTTCTAAAAAATCAAAAATAAAACATTTCTTCAAGAGCAACATCTCCTTCAACTCCAAGAATGGGGCACGGGAATGATCAAAATGGAACAAGGACAAATGTCCAAACCAAAAGAGTTGGGTTGAGTCACAATGATGAAGTTTACCGGCTCATAATCAAGCTACTACTGTACGATTTTCCTGTCCTAGGGTAAACGCCTCTTAATTCTCCAATTTCAAAGAATCTTTAGGGTCTATCTACGAAGTTAAGAGATGAAACATTCAACTAAGAATGAATAATTCTTTTAACAGCAAGAAACGAGAGAAAAATTACGAAAATCTGCATCTCTCCAAGCAAAAATTATTCTTTGAATTTTAATAAAAGATGAACGCAAAAAGATGCAGATTAAAATCCAGAACAACTACATACTAGAATATTTTTTGAGCGAACAGGATGAACCCAACAAGTTGTATCTCATATTAAACCCCGTGAAAAAAAACCTTCAGCATAAGGAAATACATCAAATACTTCCCCATCTTCTCCCTGCAATCCCCTCCAAACCTGAACCTGACATTAAACACCTGACAAATTTCTCATTTTAAACAATTCTAAATATACCCCTCTAAAGGGCAAAGAATAAAACATAATTTCAAGGATGAAACTCCCCTTCAACTCCAAGAAAGCGTCCAGAAAATCGACTTTTTCATTCTGGAAATCTGAGAAAAATATTTATTCCCAGAAATGCCAAAAAATTCTCATAAATATTGACATTTACGATGATATTTGCCTACATTGAGGGCTCAAAGATTGACATTTGAGTCCTCAAAAATGATTATTTATATGTAAATTCGGTAAAAGTGTCCGAAACTCCTAGGGGAATTAACATGGTCAAGTGTCCGAAAATCTAGTGACTCTCAAGATGAAAAGGTCTATAATCAAAAAGGAACAAAGACAAATGTCCAAAGCAAAGAATTGGGTTAAGTCATAATGATAAAATTTACCGGTTCATAATCAAGATACTATTATAGGGCTCTCCGGTCCTGGAATAAACGAATAATGCTCCCTCAATGTCTGTCTTCTCCCACTCATTGTTATCAGCATTAAAAGTATACAGTGCAACGTGAGTAGCTGTCTCCAGGATATCCCTGATGTACGGATCAACGCGTTTCAGGGCTGCTACGTTCATCTTCACCTCCGTCAAATCCGTCATTTTACGATTGATTTGTTCAATGCCCCTGACTTAAATCGTTATATTATTTACACTTGACTTATGATTAGGGGAATATGAGATTTATTTTGAGGGGTTATTTCGTTAGTTTGTCCAAGCTTTTTGTTTGTTGGATAACTGACGTGTTTACGGAACTGAATTTATTTGAGTAACAGAATGAAAACGCTAGGCTCTCGTTGATAGCCACGCCAAGCAGCTGCTCATGGAGACTGGGATTATATTCGCACATCATGGCGGATTTCGAGGGAAAGGAAAACTGATGAACTCGTGGATTCGGGCAGGGATCTGCCGTATCTGGGGAGGTTAGGGGGAGTTTACAATGGTGGAGGGGATTTTTTTGAGAGATGAGTTTTTTATCGCGTTGTGGGTAATGTGAAATTTTATGTGCGAAAATTCCTACTCATATTATGCATGCATTGTGCGTAACATTTTACATATTTTTTTTTAAATCACATTATCACAAAAATGTGATTTACTCGTGGTAAATCACATTTTTGTGATACCTGCCTGAAAAGTGCACTTTTCGAAACGATNTGTACAATCGTCAAAATAAGTTCCGCCAGTCCGTGAAGTTAGCTACTGGTTGGAGTATGGGACTGAAACGAAGGAGCGGTTCGTAGCTAACTTCGCGGACTGCCGGAACTTATTTTGACGATTGTACAATCGTCAATAGTCAGCGTTGGGCATCTGTCGATGACCGCAGTTTTTTACATGACATTGTAAAAAACGCGTAATTTACGTAATAAATGTAAAAAACCAGCCGACGTTACCTTTTATCTTAAACCGTGAAGCTTCGCGAAGATTATACCTTGCAAGGGTGATAAACCACAAGGGTCTCACCTCGTAATCAAGGATTTTAATCACTCGAGTCAGGAACTAGTTTTTTCATCACGCTGTGACGAAAAGTGAACTTTTCGGCACGCTCCGCGTGCCTAAAAGTCCAATTTCCGCCACATTGTGATGAAAAATATTGTTCGTAACTCGTGAAAAAATGTTTTTTAGCTCATGAGATTATATCACTCGCCTTCGGCTCGCGATATAAACCTCCCACTCGCCAAAAAACACTTTTTTGGGCCCGAAAACCGCGATTTAACCAAAGAAATCGATGTTAGAATCGCAGTTTTACAATCCTAGGGACATAAAATAATACTTTATGCCTCAAGTACCGAGAACCGCGTTCTAACCGAACAAAGTGAAATTAAAATTTACTGTTTATTTGTCCTCGGGCCATAATATACCATTTTTCTCATTGCGGCCGTAAGGCAGCGTTTCACAGACGCTCCGCGTCCGTGAATCTCTGCCTGCAGCCGTCATGACAAAAAAAATTGTTCGTCATATGGCCAAAAAAACTTTTCTGACGAATATGATTGCAGCCCTCGCCTTCGGCTCGTGCTGCAAGCCTGATATTCGCCAGAAAAGTTTTTTTCGGCCTGATGACGAAATATACTATTCGGGCGAATGAGGTTTGCAGCACGAGCCGAAGGCGAGTGATATAATCCCACGAGCCAAAAAACACTTTTCCCACGAGTATCGAACGATATTTTTCATCACAATGTGTGGAAAATGGACGTTTTAAGTACGCGAAGCGCGCCTAATCAAAAGTCACTTTTTCGCACAGTGTGATGAAAATAATCAAAAAACAGTTGATCTAGTGTTTCACGCATTGCGTAAGTTTCGCGGTGCGTACATTGTGGCATCACTCTGAGGCATAGTCTACAATCGACGTGCAGCGTCCGCTTGCCTCCCGTTGCAATAAATATAGATATATTAATTACCTTAGCAACGTGACGCAAACAAATGATGTGCGTTTATTGTAGACTCTCCTTAAAGTGAATTTCGAAATTCACTTTACGCATGCTCTTGAATTTTATGCACTCGTGCTGTTCGGTGAAAATGAGTTTTTGGGAGTTTGGTTCGTTCGAGGGAGAGATGTTTCGCTTCGTAACTTTGGGTCCACTGCCAACTCGGTTGTTTACCCCCACCATCAAGTTTCCTCCAATCACAAGATATTGCGTCTTCTCGCGCATGTAGCCCCGAGCCAATCAGAATTTTCCGCACAGTAGACTGCCTATATAAGGCGCGCAACTCGGTCACTCGGGTCAGATAGTTATACAAAACAAATGTCTTAGGGCTATAAGCAATGCTGAATGGAAGAAATCGAATGTAATAATTCACAAAGAACTGAAAATGAAAACTGTTGAAGAAGAAATAAGAGAAATGACTATAGATTTTTACAAAAACCAAATGTGTGACCTAGAAATCCTGGAAAACACATGTAAATTAAATAATAACGACCTGTTTTTCAAAATCAAACACAAATTGCCCCAACATGTTGCTATGGTAGCGCATGACAAAATAAAATAACCAAAAATACTATTAGTTGATAAGGAAATCTGTGATAATGCTCTGTAAATAGTGTATATAATAGTCTTAAGTAAAATACTAGAAAATAAATATGGAGGCCACCCCAACTCACCCTCCAAAAAACTTAAATGAAAATGATAGACAAATACGGACAAACAAGTTAATAAATATAACAACAACTGATACGGACAAAATTAACAACTGTTAATAGGCACCTCAAATGTAAACATAAAATGTAAATGTAAACGAAAAACATATTGTAATCATAATACTGAATAAATGAGTTTTTAAAAGGAAAAAAAGCACTCGGGTCAGACCATCGCAATCCTCACTAAGAAGCAGAACAAGCAGAAGGAGAAGAAGAAGAAAAGGAGAAGAATAGAAAGCTGAAAGAGAAACACCGGAGAAACCAGAAGATCTAGAGAAATCGGCACTGGAGAGCAGAATCTCAAGGCCAGCAACACAAACCTTCGGAGTTTTGGGCATTCACCGAAAGAATTTCGATCCTCTCAAAATCGCTGACTTTCGTGTCTCATCAGAGACCTCAGGATCAACTCTCGCTGACTGGCGGCGATACTTGCGGTTAGTGGCGACTCTCGACGTCTGAATGCTCAACTCTCACTTCCAGATCAAACTCAATTTTGCATTTAGTGGTTTTCTCCCCATTAGAAAACTCAATTTCGCTGAAAGCTCAATTTCACTGAATAAATACGAAAACTCAATTTTGCTGTTTCGTCTGTTCATTCTAAATCCGACTCAATCCTAACCTCTTAAACACGTGCACAAAAACAGCTACTTTATCTCCACTACTGTTTTGAACAGTGAGCTCGGTAGGTATCACGAAAAATAAGATGTGTCACTAGTAATACAATATATTATACTAACGAGTGTGATTTACAACCCTCGCGTTTATTTTGGGCTGTAAACCCATGTCGACATCTTAATAAGCTTAAACTTACACTTATCTGTTATTAAGGTGACAATGTGATTTACAAACCTCGCTTTTGTTGCGGGCTATAACACCTGCTTGATACGTTTACTTTTCAGGGCAGTCCAATGTGTGTAAAACGTTGGTTTTCCGCACGGCACTTCACGTGTGAAAAATTTCACTTTCCACACATTGTGATAAAAAATAGGGGTCGACACTTACGGGAAAAGTATTCTTTGGCCTTTAGGAAGATAGCGCTCCCCAAAAGCTGAAGACGAGTGATATACAATCGTCAAAATAAGTTCGTGAACAGTGTGAAGTTGCATCCTGTATAATTCTATATGGGATGCAACTTCACGTTCTTTGCGAATTTCTTTTGACGAATGACAGTACAGTAGCCTCCGGTTAGTGTCACACTCACGGAGGAATAGGGGAAGCGAATTCGGGGAATGTGACACTATTTCCCTGCCCCCACTACGCGCTCACGACGAGCCTGACTTCCGAGAACTGGGAACGATAAAATGAAAAAAAAAAATTCTTTTCTAACTTTTCTAGCTCAGCGTAACATACACCGTAATATAACACCCTCGCCTTCGGCTCGGGCTGCAAACTCATATTCGCCAGAAAAGTTTCTTTCGGCCTAGTGACGAAATATACTATTTAGCTCGTGGGATTATATAAACCTCCCACTCGCCAAAAAACACTTTTTTGCACTCGTTACGAAATATACTATTTCCTCTCAATTCAATACTTTATTTTAATGAAGAACTTTATTTAACAACTTCAACTATTACATTANTTTCGGCCTAGTGACGAAATATACTATTTAGCTCGTGGGATTATATAAACCTCCCACTCGCCAAAAAACACTTTTTTGCACTCGTTACGAAATATACTATTTCCTCTCAATTCAATACTTTATTTTAATGAAGAACTTTATTTAACAACTTCAACTATTACATATAGCTATATTCTTAGTGACTGTGATGATTTTTCTTTTGCAAAAATCGGTCTTTTGTTGTTACTATATAACTTATTTAATACATTAAATATACATTTTGTTTTCCAATTTTTTATCGAAAAGTTATAAACATTGCCAAACCAATATATATTTTTTATTTTGGTGCTCTCATCAATTCAGGGGTGAGATAGAGAAAAAAAAAATTAGTCCTTAAAAAAAAATTATTCTTTTTTAAATATACGAAGTACGAAGGGAACGGACTCGTCAGTCCGACAGTACAGAATATTTTATTTCTCGTCTTTACCGGAATCGTAAGACAATAGCAATACGAAGAATACACCGGCGTCTTTAGTCTACCGCGTGCGTGGTAGCAGAGTGGGGAAAGCGCTCGAACGGCGAGAAGAAAAATATGAGGGGAAGTCGGACACTATACTAACCAACATGCCACTAACCAGAGGCTACTGTATATATTATACTCCTCCCACAGGTCAAATAGTATTTTTCCGGCCTGTTGCGATGGGGTTTTTTACTCGTGTGGCGTTGGCCTCCGAGCCGTAGACGAGGACTGGCCAACCACACGAGTAAAAAAACCCCATCGCAACAGCCCAGGAACAATATTTTTCTGTAGTGATTTTCAAGTTTTCGAGTTTGGGAAGTATGTAATACCAATTCCCAGACGAGAAATCGTGAGAAGCAGTACAGAAAATAGTATATTATGTTACAAGTGCGTAAAGAACCACTTTTTCGCACGCACGCGTAACACATCCTATTTTTTGTGATACCTGCCAAGTTGACTGTTTGGAATGGTAGTGGTGGTTATTTTTGTGCACGAAGTGCGTAAAGTTCGATCAGTGCTTTTTAATAGTAACAAAATGAAACAATCCATTAGCGATACGGAATACAGGATTACGTCATCACCTTGTTTACAAATTTCAGGCTGATATAGAATAGAAAATCGGGAATTCAATGGTACAAAAATTACTGAATTCCGATCATAGAGTTTCAAATGGTGAACATTAGAATTTTTCAATACTTCAGTCAATTACATTACGATTGACTACCGCCATGATTAGCAACGATGACGCAGTTGTCAATGGGACTTAATATGATAGTTCATGTCGCTCTTCATGTTGATAAAATTATTGGTTCACGGCTGTAATGAACATTGCTCAAACTATCGCACATAATGGTTCTCCAAAAATCGCGCATAATGTTCCTAAAAATATGGCAGTAAATATCGCCATAATTATCGTACCATCGCCATTTTCAATCATGGCAGCATGGCGAGAGCCTCCATCATGGTATACCATGATGTTATTGGGTAAATTATTAAAAAATTCAAACGCTCATTATTCGAAAATTTATTATCGTAATTTCACAATTCTTATGGGATCCAAGGTGCTGACGTCACCCTGTATGTCGTCACTTTCAGCCAATTGCATGATTGAAGTGCATCCTTCAAAAGTTGATTCTGAAGGTTCCAAACATGAGACTTATGATTAAATCTAATGAGGCGGGCCCAATCGATCATGTATTCCTTCGTATATTCCCTGAATATTTCATCGAATTTTGAGTTATTTAAATGCATCACGTTCCGTCGATTTGAAACCTCATTGTAGCCGATATCAACGGAATCGTATTCAATAACATATTTTGAATGACATAATGCCTCATTTTCGAAGGAATATTCCGTTACGGACGCTCTCTAAGGAATCTACTTTTGAAATGACGAATTACAACGTTAAAACATTGAAATTCTATTTTGATATGAAAGAGCATACATCCAATAAGATATATTCCGTAGAAACTACGATATTTTTCTCTCAGTGTAGCTAAACGGCGAAAATTATGGAGGTATATTGCCTAGATACCTTATGATAATTAATTGAAAATCAATTGTTTTCGCGGCCAATTCTTCGGTCATGATGTCACGCATTGCTCATCCTCATGAAAATTCACATGAGAACTCGCCAAAAATTCTCATCAATGTACCCATGAGCAGTATGCACCATGGCACTTGCGGTGGCCGCCATGACAGTGCTCTCTTTTTTTAGATAGGACAGCCCCCTGACACTAAATCCAATGCCCCTATACAATACGCGTGTCCGCATTATCGAGGCTGTTTCTGACGGCCACAACGCGGCGCTGGATTACCACCTGACTGACCCCCTCCATTCTCCCAACTGCCGCCATTTCTCTGCTCTGTTTTAAAGGAAACGCCGGAATAACTCGTATTGTATGGTTTGAAAGTGAGATTAAACTGACATAATTATGCCTACTTGTGCAGTCGCTAATTGCACATCAGGTTATCAGTCTAATCCCAACAAATTCCATTTCTTCACGGTTCCGAAAGCGCGAAAACCGTCAAAGAGTGGGGGATAATTGTGAAAAGTGGGGAGCCGTCAGATGACTCTCCGCGCCATCTGTAATGGCTTCAATATGAGGGACACTGAAAACACAGTGTAAAACAGGGGGCTGAGATAGGATAAGGCGAATTTAGGGGAGTTTACAAACGGTGATCAATCGTTCCCGCTCTCGTTCGAATATTATAGCATTTTTTCGCTATCAAATAATTCAATCAACTGATACTCCCAGCGGCGGAGGGGGGGGGGATAATTGTGCAGAATCATTGTCATGAAATTTCATTATTTCTTTTTTCATTTTTCATTACTCGATTTTTGGAATGACCAGTTGCTGCAGATTTTCAGAGTGAGGGTTGCGTCAGGTGGTGAGGAAATACCTATTTGCTATTACGAAAGTCTAATTTTGGGGAATTAGTTATAGTTATTAGGTTGTTCAGGTTATTTTTGAAGATGAGTATTAATAATTTGAATGTCAAATTTCACAGCTTTTAATCGGACGGAAAACGAAGGAAAATTTAAATATTCAACCAATTTTTTTCTCTATTCAGAGGAAAATAAATAAATTACCAATTTGGGGTATCAACTCCGGAACAAAATGGAAAATTGTTATCAACAATTGCATATGTCAACAGCGAATCTTCCCAAAACAAAAATATAAAAGTACCTTTCATGCTTCACAAAAATTCCCCCATAACTTAATATAAAAGACTTGCTAATCAATTAGCGATGAATATCTCAAAAGTTGTAATTTTTCTGTAAAAAACGATAAAATGCGATTTTTCAATTTTTAAGTATAAAAACCCCCTGTAATCTCAAAATAATCCTATTTTGTACCTTCAGGGCAAACAAATGAAGAGAATAAATATAAAAAAGAATAAAAACATAACAAAAATGAATGAAGTAATGAATTGATAAAACACATTGTCTCCAAAAAATAAAATGAAAAAACCATATCAATGAATAAAATCACATTTGACTCGTCATGCGCACCCCCTCTCCCCATTCGCGCAGTGTAAAACTCACACTCTCACAAATTGGGTCGATGTGCGAAAGATGGCGGCTGCTGTGCGGTATGGCTCCTAGTCCTCTCGGTGTTTATCGTCTCCAGACCGTCTCAATCCTCGCGAAATCCCCCTAACCCGCGATTTACTCACCAGCCCTCGCATCCATCCTCAACCCACAATGTGAATACACACGGAGAAACAATAACAAATAAACAAAGCCTCTGTGCACCATCGCCTCAGCATTTGTCGTTGCAACTCGTGGAGTTGAACATTCACCTTTTTTCGGATAAAAAATGCTCTCCCCCTGGAGTTAATCCGATTTGTTTGCAGACAAGTGTTGTAACAGTGCTGTAACCTGTGGAAAATAAGAATACGTCGTGGGAGAGGACGAGGGGGAGGCGAGAGAGAGAGAGAGATAGCTCGAGAGTGAGGGATAATTTTCATTTTCCAGCTGAAGAGGGAACAATAGACAAGTGACTGGGGTTTGTGCGTTTGCCGGACTTCGGCCCGGTTAATATTGTCATAGACATGCTGAAGCAATTGCAGATGGGGATGAGAGCTTTCCTTCTTATGGCTTCCCGCGTGTGGACCTGCATCTGCTTTCTGCTCAAGAAGCAGGTTAGAGCCGTAAGTTGGTGCACAGCGCCTGTCATCATCGTTTTTTGAGGGCTTGTTTGGGCTCTGCGACATGGTTTTTTTAGGGGGGAGGGGGATTGTTGAATTGTTGAATGCTTGTGTTGTTTTTATTTGTTGGACACTGAGAAAAAAATTATCTTTGCCAAATATCCATTTACTTGAGAGAAATATTTAGGTTTTCAATACCGTACTTCTGCAGCCGAGTCATTACCACAATGAAAGAAAAACGACAGTTCTCGAACAAGTCTTACTTGTGCCAAGAATATAGTTTTTTGAAAATGATCAAAAACTGATTTTTTGTGCCAAACATGCACAAAAAATCCGTTCGCCGGGACGAAAAAATTTTGTCGCAAAAATAGATTTAGTAGGGGAGAGTGGGGCAAAATAAAACACTCGAAAAATGACTGTTTGAATTGAAGCAAAAAAATTTTTCCTGTTGAATATTGTTTTTTATCAACTTTTTTTATTATTAAGAGTACTAATGAGAATAATAATTTTCTATTGTGTGTGAATTATCTGCCGCTTGAATCAAATATTTCGTTGTTATCGCAAGCAGAGCAATTATTCATGTTTGGGACTTTCGAATTCGAATTAAACAACTTCTTTTTTGGCAATTTTCAACTAGCGATTTTGTTGGCCTAAACAAGACTTGTTTGAAAACGTATTTGTTTTTGTCTCAGCGCAGGCAATCCTCATTAGGTTTCAATTATGACAATTATATTGCTCTAGGAGATGATTATGTTGATTATGACCTTAATTGAACTCCTTCAATAATTATCAATATTAAAAAGTTGACCGAAATTCTCTCCTGTAGAAAATGAGAAATTTAGGAAAAATGAATAGGGGAGGATGGGGCAATAAAGACACCGGTAAAACTAACACCCAAAAAATTTGCGAAAAAAAATTTTTTTTTTCAAAATTCAAATTTTTGAAAAATTCTTCCATTGGGCAATCTGGACATCTGATGAATCCGTATAGGATGGACTAAAATGGACACTCAAAAAATTTTCAATCATCGAATTTTAAAAAATTGCTTTCAGCAAAGTTCACAACCGAAAAATTATTCAAGAGTGGGGTAAAATGGATACCCAAGAAGTGTCCAATTTACCCCGTTTTTACTTTACCTTACAAATCCTACGACACAGTCCTATGACAATGTGTTTGTTTTTATAATCTTTAAATGAAGTCGAAACAGTAGATTTGATCCAATTCAACTCATTATTTAAATCTGGTGTCCATATTGCCCCACCCTTCCCTATCTTAATCATTAATCCCAAGTTGGGCTTGATCATTGCCCAATAATGACACATAATTTAATGTTGTCACCAGACTGTAATATTTAAAGGACTTGAAGGGGGATTTTTTTAGAGAATCTTGTAGTAGTCAGAAGAAGTCTCTTAAGATTTTCAAGTTGTGTCGATTGTAGAATACAATTCAAATTTTTTGGCTGCGGGGAAGGGGGATTGCACGATTGTGAAATGCTTTTGATCAAGTTGGCTTTTTCGGAAGAAGGGAGTAGTGTTGGGTTGAAGATACTTTGATGAATGTTTCGGGAGAGAGTTTATGTGGAAACAAACGAAACAGTTGTCCCGAAGAAGAACGCGAAAATGGTAAAGAGAAAATCTAACAGGAAAATAGCAATGTTATGTTCTTTGAGAAAGGGGTATAGTTTTAGAGTGAGCGATCAAATCTCAGATGTTATTATCGTGGTCTTTTGGAGCATTCAAAAAATGAATTATACAAAAGAAAGAATGAGAAAAGAAAAGAGAAGACAGCGTATCTTTAAAAATCCTGCAGGTAATAATTAAATACACCCAATTGAACAATTTATAAAGTAAGAAAATACACTGATCTTTTCGAAATCTCCCGCCCTAACTATTCAATAGAAGAGATGAAAATAATATCATTCAATCGTAGTTGATATTAGTCATATATTATTCATCTTGTGGGAGAGTGGGGCAATGACTTTTTTTAAATGTTGATAATTCATTGAAATGTTGATGAAACGGCATTATTCTTCCTCTTTGTAATGAGTCCAGACTGAGCTTAATTGATGAATTTATTCTTGAGTTATGAATATTTTTAAAAAGTCAAAAATATTCATTTAAGGCGCGGGTGGATTAACTTGCGAAAGTTATCTCGATTGTTTTTCCATATTCATAATGTAAAATATATCACAATTTCTATTGGATTTTACATCACGCAGGTGTCCTTAAAAATAATGATTGTACAGTCAAAAAAAGTGGAAAAAAAACTGAGCATTTTTATATGAAAGAGCGTTTTTAATAAAGATTAAGAACAAAGACCAATAGAGAGGAAATAGTGAAGGGATAATTTATCATGGTAACTAACGATCTGACAGCCATTAACTACTGTCGTAAATGACAACCTAACAGCCATTAGATACATCAAATTATTAATTTGCAATTTTCTCCCTATTAGGTTTATTTCCCAACATTATTCGAAAACACTCTCTTTGAAAATGTTCAGTTTTATTTCAATGTTCTTTTGATTGTACAATTCAGTAGCGAAGTGGTAAAACGGTGCAAGTCAATTTTGACTATTGGCCAGTTTTCAATGAATATCTCGGAATCTAAGAGAGATGGCAATATTTTTGTTGTAAACTTTTTTGCAGAGCCGATTGAGAGCTACAACAGATATCATTATGAAAATTTCGCTCCTTTGGATTCGGAAATATTATTCAAAAACTCAACTGGGAGATAACTCGACTTAAACCGTTTTACCACTTCGCTACTGAATTATAATTTTTGGAGACTCCAGGGCTATGTAAAACTGAATCGCAATTGGAGATAATTTCAGATTATAAATAAAAAAAAAACAACCGAGATCACGTTCGAAAGATTATCCATGCGGGCCTTAATTCCATCCTCCCCTATGTTGATCTTCAATCACAAGTTGAGCTTGATAATTTTTTTACAAATCCTGTCTCAAAAAGATTTTTGAAATCTTCTTATACATTTAATAGTTTTGGAGGAAACATATATTTGGAAATCATCTTCGAGACAAATAGGTTTAACAGAAGAGTCAAGGAACATTTCTGTAGATCATTTCTTGAGCCGCAAAAAACGAATGCTAATAAGATTTTCCCCTAAACCATCATAAATTTTCCATCCATCTAATTTTATGTTCAAAATTCTGCATGCACTTCGCTTTAACTGACTAATAACTCAGGAACTACTCACTTCACGAGCAAATGTCACGAGATTTTTTTGTAGAGAATGTTGCGCCCTTCAATAAAAGTCCCTTGACATTTTCTCTGAACCTGACAGCTCCAGGGATATTCTCAGAATTATGCATTCATGGATTCTCGTCTCATCTGCGGTTTCATTCTTCATATCTTTTTTACTGACTGCGGAGTTGCTTCTTGGGGCTTACGAGAGTCTCAAGGCAACGGTGTTATCTTATCTGAATATTGGGTATTGAGTACTGGGAGGTTTGATGGACTGACCGGGAGATTGTCAGGTTTTTATTTCTTTTGCAGATCTCGCAGATGCAACCAGTGAAATACGAGATCTTCCCACTGTCGCCGTTGTCCAGGCACAGACTCAGTAAGAATTTTATCATCAGTTTTGATGATTTTGCTGAAGGATAGCACTCATTCATTCGTTCTGAGGAAAATAATTCTGAAAACTCAAGAACAATTCACAATTATTCAATTAAAAAACATAAAATTCTTTTTTTCCATTGATTTTAATTCTCGATATCTCAAAAAAATCAGAGAACATTCGGAAGAAAAATGTAAAAAATTGAATTAAATTCTTGGAAGAAAGAGCAAAAAAATCTGCAAATTTATTGAGCAAAAAACGAAAAATCAAATTTTTAATAAACAATAGGATGAGAAATTAATGATAATTAATGTTTGAAAAATATCTTGAAGCAAACATCATCATTTGATTCTGAAAAAATCGGTGATGAAGTCCAATTTGTTTTTTTGCAGGCATAGTAAAGAGAAAAGTATTAGTGTTAGATTTAGATGAGACGCTGATACACTCACATCACGATGGAGTGGCGAGGCCAACAGTCAGGCCTGGAACGCCTCCTGATTTTGTTCTTAAGGTGACGATAGACCGACATCCGGTCAGATTTTTCGTCCACAAGAGACCACACGTTGATTTTTTCCTGGATATTGTTAGCCAGTGGTAAGAGACAATTTATTAAACTTAAAAAATTGATTCGTGGAAACATTCATCTCTCAATATTTCATAAATATTTATAAAAAATGATAAAAGACCTTTTCGTTGTCTATGAAATTTCCCACAAAAAATCTCTTGATGTTTTTTGATCAACATCTTTATTTCTGAGATGATAACAGAATAAAATTAACGTCTTCAATTTCTTTCATGAAACGTAAAAAAATCATTTACACTATTTCATGAATATCTGAAAAATTACTGAGTTTAGAAAAAAATGTCAGAAGGCAGTTATTATAGCCCATTAAATTCTCTACAAAAAAGGTCTTTAGGTATTTTTATGCAAATTCGATAGTTTTTGAGATATTTACTAAGTAATCTACAGCTTGATTTTAAACTCATCTATTCCTTCGTCTAACCCATGATTGTATTCTGATGAAGGATTAACTGATAAGTTTTCGCCCTCAGGTATGAACTCGTAGTGTTCACAGCATCAATGGAGATATATGGAGCAGCAGTTGCCGATAAATTGGACAACAACAGGGGTATATTAAGACGTAGATATTACAGACAACATTGTACACCTGAAATGGGTTCTTACACCAAGGACCTAGCTGCCATTTGCTCGGATTTGGCATCTGTTTTCATACTTGATAATAGTCCAGGGGCTTACAGAGCCTATCCACGTGAGTTCAAATTCTCAAATTCGCAACCCCGAGAAATCAATCAAAATATCAATCAATTAATCAATGTTAATCAATGTTCAATTTTCATGAATCAATCCCAGTTGACGATAAGTTTTAGTAAAACATTCAAAGATTCATCCCAAAAACTGATGCAAGGCAAATTCATTTTGTTCTCATTTGAAAAATTTTTGCTATTACGGCCCGGGTGGATTATCTTTCGAACGTTATCTCGATTGTTTTTCCGTCTTCATAATGTAAAATATATCACAATTTCCATTGGATTTTACATCACGCAGGAGTACCTAAAAAATATGATTGTACGATAAAAAAAATAGAAAAAACTGAACTATTCAAAGAGCGTTTTTAATGAAGATTAAGAAATAAGTCCGTTAGAGAGGAAATAGTGAATGGTTTATCATGATAACTAACAATCTGACAGCCATTGACTACTGTTACAAATGACGACCCAACAGCTATTAGATACATCAAATTATTAATTTGCAATGTCCTTCCTATTGGGTTTATTTCCCAACATTATTCAAAAACGCTCTTTGAAAATATTCATTTTTTTAACGTTTTTTTGATTGTACAATCATGATTTTTGAAGACTCCAGGGCTATGTAAAACTGAATGGCCTTTGAAAAACATTTCAGATTATTAGAATAAAAAAAAACAACCAAAATCACGTTCAAAAGATAATAGACGCGGGCCTTAAATTTTATAATTTCAAATTAAAGAAATGGATCAACCATTGAATAAAAATCTTCACTCACATTGTCATCATTCTAATGTCGTTACAAACAAATAATGATTTATGGTTAATTTTCAGACAATGCTATCCCGATAAAATCGTGGTTTAGTGATGCTGGTGACACAGCCCTCCTAAGCCTCCTTCCAGTCCTGGACGCTCTACGTTTCACCCAGGACGTGCGCTCAGTACTATCGAGAAATCTACATCTACCTCACACTGGGTAGCTAACTGATCCCATCCCATCATTCAATCGACTCAATTAGACTAGACTAGATAAAAGGAAAAACAAAAAACTGAAGGGAGAAAAAAAAGTAATGATAATGCAGTTTAGTGTGTCTAATGTTAGGATTAAATACTGTTATTGAAATAGATATAGAACACCCTGATTACGAGACGATGAGGAAAATATCTTGTTTATTTGTTTTTTCAAAATTTCTGGGCGGGAGGGAATTCATTCTGTAGCTGATTGAGGTGAGAATTGATGTCTTGAGAATTATTGGGTTTAGGGGCAATGTTGAGACATCTCTGTTAATGACACAAAATCCTTTGAAAGGATTTCACTCGACATTGTTTCTAAATCCATTAGTCTTGGAGATATTTGTAGAATTGTAAGTGACAAATTTTCCGAAATTGGATAAAACTGGGAAAAAATCACGAAGACGAATTAAAAAATATTTCAGAATCTAGCGGATGTAGAGGGAAATGTCATAAAACATTTTTGTAGAGAATTTTGTAAGTTACAAATAAGGTCTACTAACATTTTCTCCTAAAGCCACTAGTTTTCGAGGTATTTGCAGAATTTTTAGTGACAAATTTTCGAAATTCGAACAAATTGAACAAAAAATCACAAAGACGAATTAAGAAACATCTCGGAAACTAGCGGAGTCGGAGGAAAATGTCATAAGAACTTTTTGTAGACAATTATAAAATATAAACTACAAAAAAAGCCTAATGACATTTCTCCTAAAGCCACTAGTTTCCAAGATGTTCGCAAAATACTCAGTAAAAAGTTTTGAATTCTCACCAATTAGCTACTGAACTCAGTGAGTATTTATTCGAGTGCATCCCAAGGAAATTGGAAACGTCAGCCAATACTTTCTTCAGCACAAAGCGTCCTAGGATCACAACAATCCTCGATTCAATTTGCGTTAATTTATGTAAATAATTTAATTTAAAAAAGTGTAATTTCATCGATTGATCGAAAAAAATATTGCATCAGCCAAAGATCGCTTTATAAACAAGATACGTTCGTGAGACTCCTGATTATTCTTTCCGTTCGAATAATAGTGAAGTACATCTGTAAGCCACTATTGTCGACAGTTGAACTCCATTTGCTCCTTTGTGCGTTCATTTTGAGATAAAAAAATTATGTAAATGTTTCTTTGTACCATCGACCTAGGATGGCTCATAAAATGGTGAAAGATACTAAGTCACAGATTTTTTTCTTTTTCTAGACAGACTGGTGCAACTCACTGTATCAGTGAGGCATTGGTCCACATTTATGATTAATCTAATGAATAAAGAGTATTAATAAAGTTACATATTGAAATTACATGAAAAATGGCGGAACAAAACATATAAATTTGTTATGAATGTAATTCTTTCAGGAAGAATTTAACTCAGGCGGTCCTGATGTGTGCATGGAGTATATGCACATTTATCTATTCTCGATTGATTGAATTTGAGTGAATAAAATTATAACAAATTTCCTTTTCAAGTTTTGATATTTTTTTTTGTTTGATTGGAGGAGTGGAGAGAGTTTTTGGAAGAGAAATGTCATAAGACGTTTATATGCAGACAATTTGTGAGGGATATTTGCGAAAAGAGGGGAAAATAATGAAAAGACCAACAATTGAAAAATACTCAATTATTTATTCAATAATAACGAATATCGTCGACAGTTTTGTGGGACAGAAAAACCAATTTCTCCGAATAATCCACATTGAGCATACCAGTATTCCTCTCACCCTAATTATATACAAAACAAATATCTAAATTATAGTATAAAATCATTGACAATCCTTGATTCGTGTAAAAATTATAACACAGAGCCCTGACTAAAATGGAAAATGAATTCAGTTGTGAAAAATGAAGGAACTATTCGAGTCGAAGAATTTCCAATTCATTAATTGTGCATTGATTTCATCCATAATTCAGTAGCGAAGTGGTCAAACGGTTTCAGTCAATTTAGTCTTTAGTTGAGTTTTCCAGAAATATTTCCGAATTTAAGGGAGATAGCGAAATTTTCGTAATAACCTTTTTTATACAGCGAATTGAGTGCTACTAAAAAGATTATGAGAAAAAATTTGCTATCTCCCTTAGATTTTTAGATATTCATTGAAAACTGGCCAATAGCCAAAATCGACTTAAACCGTTTAACCACTTCGCTACTGAATTGATCGTTCGATAAAATGTCAAATCGTTTTTTGAGCTGGAAAAAATTCCCATAAAAAACATTACCTCCGCATTCCCTCCTAAACTGTCTCATTACATAAATAATTACGTAATTACAAGAGATCCATCAACTCGAACAGCTCCATAATTTTCCCCTGAACTCCCTAAAATTGTTTTAGAATCTACTTAGGAGGATCCTCTCGAATCATCTCAAGCGAACTGTCTGAATTATTGGTACTACTGCCACTGCCGGCATCGTCCTCTCGTTCCGCAGCCTTGTCTCGACTTTGGGTCGAGGCTTCGAGTTGCCAGGGGGGAATGGAAGGTGGGGCACTGGGGAACTGCTTCCTGGAGAGCAGAAGACCCTTGAGACTGGCCAAATCCTGCTTCAACTCCTGGACGAGATGGGGAATCGTTGGATCCGGGGCTTGATGCTGCGTCATCCTCTTCACACTACTCTCCACCTTCGAAATAGATTCATTCATTTCTTTGAGGGAATCCTTCACTGTTTTGTCTAGGTCCTCCACGGTGTCCTTTATCGAGTCCTTCTTGCGACCAAATAAAAGTGGCTCAATGAATTTCTGAGGGAAGAAAGACATTTAAACTGATAAAATTACGTTTTATCAATTATTCAATGAGTGAAATTCATTCATTTTTTCAATGAATTTTAATGAAACATTTTCATTGAAGTTAATGAATATATTCTTTGCATCATACTTATTAATTATATTATTTATTGCTTCCCAATGGAAGCATTGTAATCGTTCAAATTTAAGTTTTGGATTTTTTGCTTTATATCGAACCATCATTATCCAAAAAGTCCAAAAATGCAATTTTTAGACCGTGTCCGTAAACTGAGAAGACAAGAGTTGTTTGAGAAGTGCGTCTTTACTTGTATCGAGAAATTCATGGCTCGAAAATTACCAAGCAGACAATATCCCACACTAAGAAAAAAAAAATTGGTTCATATCAAGAAAACGAATTCTCAAATCAAGTCAAGTAGTTCTTGTATTAAAATATTTTAGAATTGAGGCTAAAAAACTATTAAATGAATTATTAATTTTACTTGGTTTGAGACATCGTTTTCTTGTCATTAAGAAATTGTCCCCGTCTTCAGGGCAAGCACAAAATTTCTTGACGAAAAGTTTTTTTTTCTTAGTGCAAGGTGTTTCGCTTTTGAAAATTTTCAAACCACGAGTGATATAGATAAAGACGTACTTCTCAAAAAACTTTGTTTTCTCAGTGTACGTATGTGTATGGTAAAGTTTTTCTTCAGTTGTGCCCTAATGAATGGATGGAATTGAATCGTTTTTTTCAAATGTAGGTATTGTTGAGCCCTATCGATAACCATTAATTAAAATTTAATTCATCGATTAGTTTTTTTAATTTTTAAATTTTTTCGAAAATCGATTGTTCTACGATAGCTAAAAAAATGTTCTGAATTGATTGAATGGTGGCTTAAAAAATTTGTTTGGATGTCCCTTTGACCGAGTTCCAAGATGAAGGCCATAGCAATAATCGTTATTTTGGTTTATTCGAAAATTTTCAAAAATTTTGTATTTTTTGAAAATCAGAATCCTGGGGATATCTTTGAATATCATGCTTCAAATGAATTCAATCATAGCTTAAAATGTTTGTTTTTAAGCCATTAAGTCGAAGTTAAAAGATGATTACGATAGTTATATTGGCTGATATGATTTTTATGATAATTGTTGAAAATTGTGAATTTTTCATGAATTTCCCTGAAAGTGAAACCATCAGAAAGATGGTTCCTTCAAATGTGATGTTTCAAATTTATTCAAGTATGTGTAAATAAAAATTGTCTATTAACATTTTATCGAAGGGCTGAGGGGAGAAATAGAACTATAAAAAGGCAATTGGTTGTATGGAAGAAAAGGGATCAAAGAATAATGATGCTGATAACATTCAACTAAGTTCAAAATCTGACAAAATTAGGTAAAAGGAAATTTTATTCAATTTAATAAAATGAAAGAGAATGAATTATACATGATAGAAGGAAATGATGCACAAAATAACTATTCAGAAGGATATTGCTAATTTACTAGCAAAAATAACTATACTATATACAATACAAGAGCAATTTCCCGCTTGTTTATTAAAAAATCTGGAATTTAAAATAATTTTGTCATAATTTTTTTTCTGAGGAATTCTAAATTCCCAACGAAAAAATCAACAAAAAACTTTTCTCAACATTTTCTTCTAGAACTATTCATCTCCGAGATAGTGAAAAAAATAATGAACGCATTTGTGCCAATTTATTTTTATTTTTATCCAAATAAAATAATTAGAGTAATAATTACCTTGTAAAACCAGTATACACAGTAGAACGTTGCACCAATGAGTGCAGCAGTATTGAAGAACTCTTTGACCCTGTAGAAGAGGGTGGGCTGCATCACCTGGTAGCCATACCCTTGATAAACGTAATTCTGGGGTATCATGACACTGGTGAAGTCGTTGACTGGCTCTGCAAGACCAGCCAGGTCACAAGCCTTCCTGATTTCATCCTCAGATAGACCTTTTCTCAGCAAGAACTCCTGCCTCTGTTTCAAGGGACTAGACGATACCTTTGGATTTTGCAGAAACTTCACAGCTGTGCTAATCTGCAAGTCAATAGTTCATGAAGTGAATGAAGGAGTAAGGAAAGAAGACGCATTGAAAATAGATCCGTCGATTGTTTTTCAAATCGACACCTTCTAATGAAACAAGGGTATGTCAATTTTATTTTTAAAACACGGGTATCTCAAAATTCATGTGAAAGCTTATTGCTCACATCCATTTCTAAGGTCCGGTTGCACCATCGTCTGTTAACTAAACCGCCAGATAACGGTCTGTTAGTCCGTAAGGATTACACACGGTTAAATTTATCCTGGGGGTAAAAATAGCTAACACGGGTTGGTGCAACCGGGCCTAAGTCTCATGGAGCGCGCAAATCATTTTATTTCTCTTCCAATGTGAAGTAGGGGGGGGTAGGGCAAAACGGACACTTTTGACTTTTTTTGAAATATTCATGACGTGTTGAATTGTTCACGAAATGGAATAATTTTATTTTTCAATTAAAAAATAATGATTCCTCTTTGTGATGAGCTTAGACTGAGCTCAATTGATAAATCTGTTTCTGAGTTATGAATATTTTTTAAAAAGTCAAAAGTGTCCATTTTACCCTACCCTCCCCTACTTCATGTTATTGTCGGACCAAAATTTCTTTTCCCTTTGGAGAAAATGGTTTTCCTTTGTTTTCATTGACTAATCAACAATTTGACAATAGAAACCATGGAAACTCGTTATCGGAAACTAAGTTCATGCGAGAAAAGAAGTTTTGGTTGGACTATATTTGTACTTTTTAATGCATTCATACCATTTATACAGCTGTCAACAGAAGGAAAACGTGAGATTTCAGATGGTTTTTAATATGGATTTTGAGATACCCTTGTTTTAAACATAAAATTGAAATAGCCTGGTTTTATTAAGAAACGTTGAAATATTTAGGGAGAAATTAGATTTTTTGTGGGGAATTTTGTGATTCTCCTTCAAGTACTTTTCTTCAATCTTCGACATTTCCTGAGTAAATGATCCGATTTGGATGAGTCAAGTCTCATTTTGAAATTTGAAAAAATGTCTTGAACATGAAGAGAAATCGGGGAATTTCACTCTGCCCTTCTTGAGAAAATGACGAGTAAAAATAACCTTTTTGATTTCTCTGTCATTAAAAAGTTGATAAAACGTAGAGGAGGTTGGGGTAAAATGGAGACTTTTGACTTTTTTCAAAATATTAGTGACGGGTTGAAATGTTGATGAAATTTAATTTTTTTTTTTCAATACAAAGAACAATTCTTTCCCTTTCTGATGAGCCTAAACTGAGCTCTATTAATACGTTCGTTTCTGAGTTATGAATAATTACCCATCCCCATAATCCATTACCCTACCCTCCCCTAGTTTTATCAATTTAAATGTCTCTCATCTCCCAGAAATTCATCGAGCCACTTTGATTCCCTCAAAGAAATGAATGAATCTATATATTTTTTCTCAGGGGAGGATCCTCCCAAGTGAATTCTAAATCAATTTCAGTAAGTTCAGGGGAAAATTATGGAGCCTCTCCAGTTGATGGTTTCCTTCTGACCGAATCACTCACCCGACCATTGCACATTGACCCCTCATTAATTATCACGCCTCAATGGCCCCCCAACAACCCCCACGCCACCCCTTTCCCCAAAGAATCATTAATTACTGAATCAATCCCTCGAGAATTAATCTCCAATCGAAATGATAGAAAAAGAATTGAATTACTCACAAGTGTCTCTCTTGAGAGGTTATTGTTTCCTTCTTGGTCACTCATTCTTGATGATTATCCACTCTCAATGATAATTATCACCCCGATAACTCCAAGTCTCTTCACCCACCTGATCATCCACACCTTTCACCACTTTAATCGCCAATTCATGTTGTCTTGGCAATTAGGAACGAATTATTAGCACTTTTCCGAGATTTTTCATCCTATTTATTTTACATATATGAATGAAAATCGAAAGTGCGCACGCACGTCTGCGGTCGACTGCGCCGTCTGCAGTCGCGTGGGTTTTATGTATTTATTATTTATTTTGTTTATAATTTGTGGAGTCCGGGGGATCTCGGTGAGTGACTTTATGTGTGAAGGACTGGGGTAGAGTTCACCAGGTCCAGGAACAGGTGAGGATTGTTTTCCGGGGGTTTTGCAATTTTTTTGGGGGTTTTGAAATTGATTACTGCTTGTGGAGTAGGTTGTTTTGGGTTTTGGGGGTTTGATGATTGTCGATGGTGATTGTTGGGGTTTGATCGGGCGTGTGTGAGTGTGTGTGTGT